CTCTATCCCACTAAACTTTTTTGGGTAGATTGTATTTGTTCACATTCAAGCACAACACTGTGGCAAATTAGATCCAAGATCAGTAAAGTATATATTTCTAGGGTGTACTTCAAACCAAAAGGGATACAATGTTATTCACCTGCAACTTGATGATTTTATACTTCTATGGATGTTACTGTCTTTGAGCAACAACTTTATCCCAAATCTGAAATTCAGATGAAGAATCCCAAATTTGGGATTGGACAAGGGAAGATTACCAGATTAACCAAACTATTAAATTATTGCCCACCCAAGAAAACTCTATTTGATTACATGTAACCAATACTCGAGCATGAATCACAAATTCTAGAATCTGAGTCTACTCAGGAGGATTTTGAAGAGAACTACCTATTCACACCCATAACAAGCCAAGAATGGGAAGATTATTTACTCCAGAACAAAGAAACTGAAAGAGGATATAGAGCAGCAACTTCCAACACCTGAGCATAGCCAAATATCAACCCTGAACGAAGGTTCTGACACACAACCTGATCACACTGGAAGTTACTAAAGCTAATCGTCTAATCGCACTAAGAGATGGAGTAAGATTGTGTAAAAACAATTCTTTATGCAATTTTGTATCACATACAAGGTTATCACCTCAATTTTATGCATTTGTAACAAGTCTAGATAACACTCATGTTACCAAGACAATTGAGGAAGCCATGAGTACTCCAGGTTGAAAGATAGCTGTGTTGAAAGAAACAAAGGCCCTAAAGAAAAATGGTAAATGGGAACTCACAAAGATTACCAGAAGGAAAGTAGATAGTAGGTTGCAAGTGGGTCTTCACTGTGAAGTAAAAAGTCGACAGGTTAAAAGTTTGGGGTAGTTGTTAAAGGATTCAAATAATCATAAGGTATTGACTACCACGAAATATTTGTCCATGTTGCAAAATTAAACACAACTCGGGTGCTGTTATCACTGAGAGAATTTTTTTTTTATGAAATAATCATCGACAGCAAATTTTGATTGGCCATTTTAACAACTTGACGTCAAAAATGCTTTCTTAAACAAGAAACTCACAGAGGAAGTCTACATGGATATCCCTCTAGATTTGAGACATACGATAATATGAATATGGTCTGTAAATTGAAGAAACCCCTTTATGAATTGAAACAATCTCCTAAATTGTTGTTTAATCGATTTAATAGGGTTGTGAAATCGTATGGATACACATAATGCCAAACATATTATACATTGTTCATGAAGCACTCCCATACAAGGAAATTGTTGTATTTATTGTTTATGTGGATGACATGGTGTTAGCCAAAAATGACGAAGAAGAAATCTTCAAACTCAAGAGAATACTTGTCTCATAATTCGAGACCAAAGACTCAAGGAATTTGAAGTACTTCCTTAGGATAGAAGTAGCACGTTCCAGGAAAAGAATCACCTTATCACAAAGAAAGTATGTAATTAACTCGTTGACGGAAACAAGAATTAGTGGGTGTAAACCAGTAAACACTCCAGTGGAACCAAATTATCATGTTCGGAGCACAAGAGGAAAGTCCTCCAGTAAACAAGGGACAATAGCAGAGATTAGTTGGAAACCTGATATATCTCTCACACGCTAGGCTAAATATCGAATTGTAAGTCAATTCATGAATAACTCAACTGAAGAATATTTATGAGTAGTGAATCGAATTTTAATATACTTAAAAGTGAAACCAAGGAAGGGATTGTTCTTCGGAAAAACCACAAAAAGAGATGTAGAGATATTCATTGATGCCGACTAATTAGGATCTATTATGAGTAGAAGGTCAACTTCTGGATATTGCTCGTATGCATAGGGAAATTTAGCAACATGGCGAAGCAAGAAACAACCTGCTGTAGCTTGAAGTAGCACTGAGGTAGAATTCAATGCTATGGCACCAGGAATATGTGAAGGAATGCGGTTCTCACGTGTAAAAAGGATTGAGTATTCTAATCCCACAAACATGTTGCATCACAATCTATCTGCAATCAGTATAGTAAAGAATCCGCTTCACTATGATCGAACTAAACATGTTGAGATAGATCAACATTTGATAAAGGAGAAGGTAGAACAAGTGATAACCAATGTGATATACATTTCGCCTAACCAACAAACAGTGGACATACTGATTAAGGCCGTGCAAAGAAAGAACTTAGAGGACTTGAGCTCCAAGCTTGATATGATCAACATCTATGCCTAACTTGAGGAAGAGTGCAGAATTATTAGGAGAACATCCAAGAGAAGAAATATGCAGAAGTATTAGGAGAAAATTAAGAGGAAAAAAAAGATCTAGATTTGATACTAGAATCCTAAATAGAAGAAAGTTTCCTAAACCTTTTATAAGTATATTTTTTGTGCTACTTTCGGGAGGGATATTGATTTGGTATCCAACCTCATAAATAATGTAATAGTATAGAAAAAAACCATGAAATAACTTTACAGCTTTCTTCAAATACTAAAGTAAAACAAGCATATGTAAAGAAAACAAACTAATAATAGAAAAAGGATAAGAAACTAACTCCCTCCTCCATCAGGTAGTTCACTATCAGCTGGGACAGATGTCGTGTTGCTTGTAGCAGTATCCATATCTGCTGAAGCAGAAGCACCAGGATTGTTGAATATCCAGTCTGTTGCTTTCTCAATATCACCCCCCTGGTAAAATTCAAACACATTCCAGAAATAGTTAAAAAGATTTGCCAGGATATTAGTCAAATATCAAACCCCCACCCACCCACCTAAAAAAGAAAGAGCAGTAACATATTTACCGATGCCCTCAGTGCCTTTCGAGCAACCTCTTCATGAAAACCAAATGAGATCAGAATATCCACTTTTGATTGGTCAACAGTTGAGGCCTCCTGGGAAATTGGTGCATCTATATCTACAGAAGGAAATACGATATATCAATTATAATAGATCAACATAACCCAGAGTCTGTTGCAACTCTCAAGGAGGTAGGTCTTGCGATGAAGTGACAGTTGTCCAACTACCAGGATCATCCATGTGAGAAAGTAACCAGTTCATTGCTTCTTCAACCCCAGCATTTGAGGTGCTTATAGCAGCTTTCTGACAATGAAGATTGTTAAATCCCATTGAGACAAGCTGGTAAACAATATCCTCATTGGCAACAGGCCTATTTGATTCCATTTCGTCTCCAGGAGCTACCCATGCACATAATGGACAGACAAATATAAAGTATCAATTGTCAGTATCTTCATCCTTCTTTTTCTCTTTGTAAAGAGCATGGACAAAAATAATGAACAAGAGGTAGCAAGATCTAGAATAAAATGTGTGCCATAAAATGACCAACTCCAGTGTGTTTGGAACAAATAAACTACTTTTGTATAATTTATTTGCAAATATATACCTAAGTTGAAACACAAAATGATGAAAATTTCAAATTTATTTCAGTGGGAATTCAACAGTACATTTTATTTCCTATCAAAATTAGTAGAATTTGAAACTGTAATTTTCAATTCAACTAGGAACTCGTTTGGAGTTGAATTTCATCCTCTCCCATAATTGAACTAAGTTTAAGTTTCCGAATAAATTCGACAAGCTAGTTCCTTCTTTACATACTGCGTGTCCTCGACTAGAACAGTAAAATGTAAAGAGTCAAAAACCAAAACAAAATCTCAAGTCCTAAGCCCCACGGGCTGAGCCTTTGGAGGAAGATTCGGGATGACAGCCACAGCATCAAGGGCTGTGTGGGCTGAAAGGTTGGCAGGGATGATGGAGCTAGGTTTTGACAAGATGAATGGATGGGGAACTTCAGCTTAAAAGACAGATTCAAAATAATTTTTGACATTGCTGCAATATGGATGCAGAGGCGGAGGAGATGTATGAGGATGTGGGGGAGGGTAGGGTGTGGGATGTGAAGGTGAAGAGAAGACTGCAAGACTGGGAAATTGATGAGTATAGCAGTCTGCTACTGTCCCTGAATGACATGAATTTGAATAAAGAAAAAAATAAAAGAATCTGGAAGCTATATGAGAAGAAAGGGTTCTCAGTGAAATCTTTGTATAGCTGTCTAACTAAGAAGGATAACAGCCGCAGAATGTCAGCTCCTTATATGCAAATATGGAAGTCTAAAGCCCCTCATAGAATGGCTTTTTTGCGTGGGAAGCGGTCAATGAATGTATTTTGACTTCGGACATTCTAAAAAGGAAGGGGAATGTGCTTGTTAATAGATGTTACTTATGTCATGCTGTTGAGGAATCATGCAACTATTTATTATTGTTCTTCTGCCCAGTGACATACAGCATATGGACCTCTATTTTTGGGCTGTTAGGGTTAAATTGAGTTATGACTGGTAGTGTGAGTAATGAGTTGTGGACATGGGTGGACTTTTGTAAAATAAAAAACATTATTTGTTTCTTATTCCACTTCCTATATTTTGGATGGTGTGGAAGGAAAGGAATGGGAGAGCTTTTGAGGGTATAGAGACTAACTTTACAAAAATTAGAAATAAATGGATTCATACTTTTGAATTTATTTTGTCGGGTCATGGCATCAAAAATTTGTTTAACTTTGATGTTATCATAAACCATTTGATTGACATATAATTACCTTATATTCGGGTGGTACCCCCTTGGTACCTTGTGCATAATAATATTTTCCTTTTATTTAAAAAAAAATTCTCAAGTTCAAAGAAGAAACACAATTTGTATTGGGCAACTCCCTCAACTAAAGTGGTGGCTCCATTGCCAGATTATTCAGGCTATTCCAAAAGGACAGATATTTTTCCATACTTGAGGAATCCTCCTACTAGTAAAAGCAAAAATGCCAAGCAGTAAGAAAAAACTTGGTCGGTCTCAGGGTAATGCCTATAATCCAAAGCAACAAGATGAGCAAACACCACACGACCAGAGTAGAATTGCCATTTGCGGTGCAGATAAGGCACCCGTGGTGGTTTGTCATCACTTTCATAGTACGAAGACTTGCCCTCCAGAAACAATGATGAAAATCAAATAGAATGCCTCAAAATATATTGGACTTATCTAAACACAGCTGATACATCTTTGACCTGTATAATTTAGTCAACGTTTGACATCTTAGAAAAGTAATAAGAAGTATCCCCAGCATCAGTGGCAAAGAATGAAACTGAAGCAGCTAATGAAAAAAAAAAATCTAGGTTTTTAACCATAAATACATCCATTAAGGCTTTTGCCAATTCCAAAGAAGTTACATACCACCCTCTGGTAACAGCTCCTCTCCATGTTGAAGGCCCTTGCTTCGCATGTGACTAATATCTATAATATCAGGCACATCTATGTAGACATCTGGATTAACAAACATGATGAGCACAGGTAAGCAGAATTAAGTCAACACAATAACAATCCATCAGAGAAGCAACCTAACCACAGAAAACATACCCAGCTTCTTTGGTACCCAGCCCTCCTCCATAACAAACTTCCGCATGTGCAGCACCAAATAATCAGGGAATGACGTTAACCCGGTAGTCCTATGTGAAAATCAAAACCATGAAAGGGCAATGACTTGTATTAACAATGTGATTCACCACCCACAGTTGATAATTCTGGCTTTAACCATTCAATAAAAAGATATAAGGACCAAGAATTTCCTAAAAAGCACAACCATACAGAATTCGTTAAATATATAACAACGGGCCTCAGGGTCTGCGAGAAAACCTCAGTTCAATTGTTATTATTATTACATACTGTACATCTTTAATAGAATACATACATATAAATGATGCATGGTAAATCTCATAAAAGAAAAACCTAATGTAGAATTTTTATTTGTTTTGTTTTATGTGACTTTTCTTCTCTTGTTTTTCCTTGATTTTGGCAAGTTCCAGAAGATAAAAAATAAGCTTACTTGATTGCTGTCGTCTTTGCCTTCAAGGCAGTGCTGTAAAAATCATGTATCTCCTCTGGTGCTGTGAAGTTTTCCAGGCATGCATGCAGAGGCACCCTTGGACGTACAATTTCATCACTGGATCTGCAAGAACTAGATATCTTTAAACACAATTCCATAAAATTCATGGGGAAAAACATGAATTTTAAAGCGACTGAACTTACAAATCCTTCCCTTCTGATGTTTTTTCTGCTTTCAGCTTATGAAAAGCTTCTAGTTCTTCTGGATCCTCAAAATAAGACAAAAATTGATGTAGATTTAAGAAACTGGGCCAGAAAAAGCAAGTTTGAAAAAAGACAAGAAGTTATGGCTTCAGAAAATACCTTTATTAGTAGCTTCCTGCAGTGGAATATTCAAGGAGAGAATGTAATCAAGCCTTCTATTGTAAGCAACCTTCCCAGAGGAACACAAAATGCGATCTTCCACACCAAACTTGAAACTCCTCGAGGGATCCAACTCAGGTTTTCCAGCATTAATACGTTCAACTTGGTCGACGAAATGTAGGAAGAACTCCAAGGCATCCTACAAAAGAGCAAAAATCAGGGATGATTATTATGTTTAAACAGAAGATCTCAAAATGTCCGATTGTAAGTTTCATTAATTGGTCTTCCCCATTAAACAACCACCATAAGGGCATAAAATCATAAAGTTTTAGTTTCGTAGAGCTTACAATTTTGAGCCATAGTCTATAGGAAAACAATCATTCATTTTTATTCAAAGGACAGAAACACAGACCTTTCTACCAGAGATTGCATCCTGAATCATTCTCCAAAAAAAAAAAAAAAGAGAGAGAGTGCCTCCTAAATATGTGAATTATAAGATGCTGAACATACCTGCTGTCTCATGGTAGAAAATTCAGGATGACTGGCAGCTATAACAGTCTTGAACATACGAGGAGGTATACCTTCCTGTTTCTACTTATCCAAATGCGGAAGAAAACAGAAACAAAAACAAAAGAAAAAAAAATAGCCCCAAAGAAAAATTAACAAAATTAGCAAGTTGGATATATAGGAAGAATCAATAAGACAACATCTAGATGTTGCGCAGCATATAAATAAATATGACAATATGTAACTTATGGGTAATGTTAAGAACTAGAATAGAGATTATTAGACAACATGCGACTAGCAGATAATTTTATAACTTGCACTTGAGAATACAAGACAATTCGGCATAGTATAAGAAAAGCAAAACATAGCACAAATCTAATGCTAAAATAAAAAATTAGATGGGGTTTTCTGAGTTTTAGGCATAATTATAACAGAGTCCATGCTTTCCAAAGTATGCAACTCGATCCTCATTTAAAAAAATGTTTATACCAACTTTGTTCAACTCACTAAATGGACAATAAAATGGTTATCAAGGTAGAAGTATCTAAAAATAAATTAAACAAGAATTCCGAGATTCGTAAAAGAAGTGGGATGTTTGTTTATGTGTGTGTACATGTGCAGGTGTGTACATATATATATAAATATATACATATATATATATCAAAGCAAAGTCTTCAAATTGCACGGCTAGAAGAACATCAAAGCTTAATAAAAGCTGACAAACTAGTGCATTTTTAGTTTACAAAAACT